TTTGACTATTTCTAAAAATTCTTTGAGATAGGGCCATGGATGAGGGAGGTCTTTGGTCTCCATCTCCATCTTCCGATATGCTCTCGCTTGTGTCCGACCTTTCAGACATTTCAACATCTTTTTCTAAATCCAACATTGTAGCATGGCATAGACAATTCACGTTTGCAGTTTGAAGAACACCTGCTTGCTTCTGATGATTTCCTTTAGCTAACCAATGAGTGCTTGTGTTATATGACTCATCCAATGACACTAGTTTTCACTAGATGTGGATGGAGCCAATGATCTGCATTGGATGGCGCACATGACGTGAAAAAAAGATTTATAAACATTAAACCGAAGCCAAGAGTAACGAGTAACTTTTGTTTTAAAAATGTAAGAAATAGAAAGTACAGATACATGTGTGAAAATGTAATGAGTAGAAGTCACGAGTAGGAAGGAAAAAAGTAATGGAGTAAAGTATAGATACCGAAAAACTGTACTTAAGTACAGTAACAAAGTATTTGTACTTCGTTACTTGACACCTCTGTATCTGTGATGGGATGAAATAAAATAAAAATGTTAAGAGTAATTAATACTTTTGCTTGTATATTAATTGAAATAATTTTCTTTACATTTTCATAGTTACCTACAAAGAAAAGTGTGTTACTATTACTTATTACTCAAAATGGCCTCACATAAGAAGTTACTGCTTAGAAACAGGTGAAGGAACACCGTTGCGGATCATCACACTGGTGCAAAGATTTTAGGGTTTTTATTGAGCAAGCAGCAGAACATGTTGATTCTGAGAATTATTCAGAAAAGCTTTGTGCTGCCACCAGTGCAAAGCTTGCTTAACAGTGACAGCAGATGGTGAGTGCATTCGGCTTTTAGACAATTGCCTTATGACAGCAACAGCTAAAAATACAACAGGTGAAGACAACATCTTACCAGCACATATTTACTAAAGAAATAAAACCTTCTTTCACCTGCTGTTTAGGATTCTTCCAGGAGTGAAGATTATGACTGATCTGACCATGAAATGTGTAACACAAGATAATTAAACCTTTCACTGGGGTCTTAATGCAAAACTGCCCGGAGCCAGAGAGAAAAATGCACAAAAACTGCTGAGTGTGGCTGTATACATCTGGCAGGGAAAGACTCTTCCATTAACACCAACATCTGGAAACTAATGAGAACATAAGCAGCTACACTTAAACGAAATGAGCTATCCAGTGAAGTCATATGGACAACTTTAAGATGCAACAGGATGATAAAAGCCACAGCAAGCCAATAGGTGGGTAGGGGGATTTTAAGATATCAGCCAGAGGCTTTGGCACCTGTGTGTCGTGTAGCATCGGCCCAAATAACATCATGCAGTCATTGTTACAGTAAAACCAGCACATCTGCAAACCATCATTATTTTGTGTAAAACTGACTAAATAACATCAGTCATTTTGATTAATTGACTTTCTAAACATAACTTTAGAACCTTTCACCCTTATTGGCTTTCATTCTCAGACTGAAATAAGGAAAATCCAACCTTTCATTTGCTTTTAAAGGAAATTCTATACTAAGAAGTAACTTGTGTAGTTGATTTAGGAAGGAACCATTAGCACCACACTTATTAGCACCCCTGCTGTAAATACCTTCTAAAGCCTGTTAATACTTATAACATGACATTTTCTCATCCAAAACGAGGGAACTTTGGATGTTTCTTTTCCCACAAACTATCTAAATGGTTCAGTATTCTCGGTCCTCTTATGGTCTCGTCTTTTAATCTTACCTTATCTTACCTTTGCAAAAGGATTTAGATTTGTATGTAAGGTAGTCGAGATGTTTTTTGGCTAGGGTTAGGGTTGATCCAATTTATTTTTTGTTATTTGTTTATGAGAGTTCAATCTGAAAAACTCACATAAAGAGAAAAGACAATTAGGAGAAATTTATTGATACAATTACTTTGTCTTTGGCGCTCAGACCTCAGCAGGAAACATAGCACTTAATTTTGATTGATATGCATGAACATGAGCAAAGAATAGGGCTGTTTCCCCCCCAGGCCTAAAACTGGTGGTGGAGTGGAGATAGATGAAGTTGGTCAGTCTGTAGATTCCATTCAATTCAATTCAGTTTATTTCTATAGCGCCAAAGTCACAACACATGTCATCTCAAAGCACTTTACAGTTCAACCAGATCATACAGTCAAATTGATACAAAGTTTTCTATCTAAGGAAAACCAGTTGATTGCATTGACTCACTGACTCAAATACAATCCCTCACACTAAGCATGCTTGTAGCGACAGTGGAGAGGAAAAAACCCTTTTAACAGGAAGAAACCTCCATCAGAACCAGGCTCAGTGTGAGCGGCCATCTGCCGAGGCCGACTGGGGTTCAAGGAGACAGAAGCAGAGACACAAAGGCGGCCGCGTCCAGGAAACAAACAGCCAGACAGACGAGCTCCGAGCCAGCTCCCATGCTAGAGGACGAAGAGAGCACATCCACTCAGTCACGGTCAGAGAAACAGGACCACACTGGAAAACAGGCCGATCTCCAGCATCTATAAACAAGGGTGTTGATGGAAGCAGCACAGCTGATGTTTCTTTCCAGGATGGCGTGGTGTAGACTGCTGGTTAGCGAGACGGTATGCTGAGCTTTATGGGGAGATCCAGAGGATTGTGTGAGCTGATTCTAGAGCTTCACGTAGGGAACTGAAAGATTGAAGTCCAGCTTGGATAGCACAGGTTGAGAGAACCTGTACATGATGAACAAGCATGGAGCAACAGTGCAGAGGAAAAACTCCCAGTTGAGAAGAAACCAACTGGGAGAACCAGGCAGAAACCTGGCAGAACCAGGTTCAACTTGAGACAGGGAACCCAGTGAGAGTCCGGGAGAAATGACTCTGATGAAGCTTTAGCTACAATGGTGGAGGAGGGTCTGGAGGTGGGTTGAAACGGTGTCATCTGAATGAAGTCATACAGAGCATACCTGCGCACAGGAGCGTATCGGAGGCCTTATAAGATGAACTTTGGATGCCGATTGGCTTTCGTCAAGGTGTGGTTCAAAGCTGATTGGCTGTGTTGCAGGTGAATGTATGAAAAGCAATGAGTTTCTTCAGTTGAACTTCTGCCTAGGCTCCATTAAACACACACCTGTGGTAATGAAAAGGAATTGTCTCATAATTTAAACGATTTTAAAGAAGCAGTAACTGAATTTGGCCTCTTGAGTACAAATTCATTGCAACAGTAGTAAAACAGGAAGTCAAGGAATAAGTAAATAATTAATTTAGAGTTTTTATATAAATTTTTATTAAAGAAATCATAGGTTAAACTGAAAATGTATATCTTCTGTAAGTCTCAGATTCAATAGGTGTTATTGAAAATGTAAATACTTTCATTATTTCAAATTGCATTTTAAATTAGACCTTGTGGTTTCATTTTATTCTTCTGCTAATATAATTTGAGGAGAGAAATAATATTCAGTTGAATCCAGCATAAGCCCTTCATTCCAACTATGCTTTATCAAAAAAAATTTTTTAAGCCAAGTCTAGAAATTAGACAGATAAAACACAGATTGAAACTGTCAGCAAATTAGAGGAGCATCCAGTTTAATTTTCAAAATTTGAAGAACCACCAGTAGACCTAAATTCTAGGAGTAAAGTGCTGTTAGGAACATAAGAAACAATCAGAGCTCTGATACATGACGGTGCTTGAATATTTAGGGATTTATGCATGAGAAGAGGAATTTTAAATTGTTTTTATATTCACATTATTCCAAAGGTGAATTAATCAAATTCCAGTAATCTATGTAATATGGGATTTTAATAAAAATCCTGATAAAAATGACATCAATGTTTAAGTTATTCTTGGAATTCAATTTAATACCATCCAAATGAAGTGATTGACTTTTGCAATGGTAAAAATGTTTTACATAAGAATAATAGCTTATGCGATTAAAAAAAAAAGATGTGTGTTAAGTAGAGACCCAATTAGAGGAGTCAAGACCTTGAGTTTGATCCACCTGCCACAGACCACATAGATGAAGGGGTGAGGAATGTGATCATCTCTATTGTTTTTAAAGCCTTTTTCCATTCACTTTTTTTTTCTTCGATCAACTTTCAATTAATACACTTAAATGCAGGACTATGAACCTCCAGCTACATTAACATTTGTGTAAATTGCCCTTCTTGTATAGGGTAGAAATGATCTGTGGCAATTGTGATACTGGTTGCATGCAGTTGCCCAGGGCATCATTAAAAATGTGGAAGGAGCCCTCCTTCCACAAGCAACAGATGAAAAATGTTTCCTATAGTGCTTTATTTGTGCAATGGTAGTCAGTAGGGAATCAGAACCCCCATGTTTTGAGCAAGCACACCTTATCTGCAATGAGAACAGGGAGTTTAGCTTGGGACTGCAAAGCAGAGCATTTTAGAAGTATGTCTAAGTCAATGCTTAAAATAAAAAGAGAAGCAAGATTTAGGTCTTAATTGCATGTAAACTAAAATCACAATTAAAAGTAGCTCAGAGTTCATATGTTAAACTCTTTCTTTCCTAAACAGACCTTCACGCTGAGCCTGGTTCTGCTCAGTGCACAGTGGAGAGTTTTTCCTCTCCACTGTCACTGCAAGGATGCTCAGAATGAGGACTTGATGCAAAGTCAACAACAATGCAAGGGAATAGTGTCGCTTAGCTCATCCAGCAGGCAAGTATTCTGCAAAGTCAATAACTGAATGCACTCAGCTAGGTTTCCTTAGATAGAAGACTAAACCAATCTGTCTTTATGCTTTGATGTGTAAATGATCAATGATGTGAATTGCACTTTTTTACAAAAAAAAAATGAAAGTATTGAGAGAAATTAGACATTTTATTTCAGCTGAGGCAGATTTTTCAATTATTTATCATTAGTTTCTTTTTTATTTTTTTACAATGACCATTCTACTCCTGAGCATTAACGTTCGCATGGTGCGCGCACAAACCATTGGCTCTGGATCTTCTAGGGGCGTTGCTTGGCGTTATTGAGAGCTTTGGGTGCACCGGGGGTGCTCAAGGGATGGCCAGAGGAAAGCTTACTTGTCACTGATCCCTCCTTTCAGCCAAAGACTGCAGTTTACATTTGGCAGCAGTATTTTTTTTATATTTTTTGTGCCGGGAGGGATGAATGTGTCATAAACACGGAGGATTTGCAGAGGCCAGTGGGTGCGCGTTTTAACAAAGCGATGAGGCCAATGCACTTTGCAAGAGTTGCGCTGCAGAGAGCCTCCTCGGATCTCACGACCTGTTGCGGACAAGCTTGGGAATAAGGAGAGGGAGACGGAGAAGTTTGGGAAGCCGCGCCGAGTCGCTCGGCAGAGACGGAGGGAAGCGCCTTGGACGGAGTCTTCGCGGAGGAAATCATGCATCTTGCAATCTGGCTGGTTGGACTAACGTGTCATTTATCAGCACTGGTCAGGGAGACTCTACAGTACCGATTGCATCCGAAACAAGGTAGATCTAATTCTAACCGGGTTCCTTTTGAAGGTATATTTGTATTATAGTGACACTTTGATGCTGCTGCTTCTCTTCTGATTCTCACATTGTGTTGCAGAAAGCTTCATAAAGCAGCTGTCATCCTATGAAATCATCACACCGCTCAGAGTCAATGACTTCGGAGAATCATTCCCCCACAATCTGCACTACAGAAGGAGGCGCAGGAGTTTAAATGATGACCTGTCGGGATTGCGGCTTCTCTACAGGATCGACGCGTTTGGGGAACGTTTCCATCTCAACCTGAGCGCAGACTCCAGCTTCATTGCGCCCTCTTACTCGGTGACACACTTGGGAGCGGAGGGGAGCAGCTACACCGACACGAACTTCCACGACCCCGGCGATATGCGGCACTGCTTCTTCCGCGGGCACGTCGACTCGAAGAGCGAGCACCCCGCTGTGTTCAGTCTGTGCACTGGCCTGGTGAGTCCTATTGGATCCCGTTATTACGAAAAATAAAACCAACAAAAATATGATTTCCTTTCTTGAAGCGACTTTGATATGGTTTCTTTATTTTCAATGGATCCCATTCATGCATGTCCTCCAGAGCCCACAGTCTGTGAGTGAAGCGTGTATAACAAGAGCAAGTGTTTCTGACTAATGACACAAGGACGCATGAACTCTGTTAGATGTGATGCGCTCCGGTGTTTGAGACTGAGGCGGATCTATCCCCTTGAAGAATGTCCTCTGATCATCACCAAAATGCTGTATATGGAAGAGATTTTACCTAAACACACCATCTCCAGTGTGAAACATGGTAATGGTTGCATCATACTGTGGGAAGCTTTTCTTTAACAGGAACAGGAGAATTGGTAAAAGTTGGTGGGTTAAAGGAGGAAGTTTTATCCAGGCATGTTAAAAGTTGCAGAAAGATTTGAAATGAGGCGTTCAGGGTTACCTTTAAGCAGGAGGAAATCATGGAACATACATCAAATTAATATTCATATCCTCCAAAGGCCCAGTTCAGCCACAAATGCAATGGAGAAATGACGCAATGACAAAAAAATGACTTCTTCTTAAGTTTGATCAACTTTAAGCTTTTTTGCAAAAAAAAAAAAAAAATGCAAATTCTGTATTTAGATAAAACAAAGACCGGAACCCTCAAATTTTGTAAGACGGGTAATTAGAATGGCATGAAAATATTTGAAAACTGTGTTTTTGCCTTTTATGCGAAGAAATCTAAAACTTCAAGAGGTATGATGGATCAAGATCAGAATTATTTGGCCTTCAAGAACGAAACATTTTCCTTGGACCCTATTGGCTACTTTTTGACTTATTTCCGTTCCAATACCTGACAAATTTCTGAGTAATGTATTTTTATTTGCAAAGACATAAAAAGACTGCTAAATTCAACTGATGAGCCAGTGTTTTGGCTACACATACCAGATAATTTAGGTGAGATTCAGGTATGAATTGTATCATTTGACATATTTTCTGACACTATGTCAGAAACAAGTTTCCATATTTTGCTAAATCTATGATGAAATAAAATGAAACACAGCTTAATAGACTTGATATATTTAATGTTTAGCTGGCAAAGCTGCTTTTAGAGAAGTTTCAAAAGGGTGGTCAGTTACTGAATATCTGGATTATCAGAATATCTGATAATCCATCCACCCATCAATCCATTCTGTTTCAAAGAGGGGGGAGTGTTGGCCTAGTAGTTAGAGCAGTGCACTTGTGTTCTGAGAAGGTTGCAAGTACTTGGTTGGATCCCCACAGCCCAGAGTCTGTTAACCGAGTGGTTAAATGCAGAGGTAAATTTCTCCAGTTTAAGATCAATAAAGTTAATCCATCCATCCGTTTTCTATCACGCTTATTCCAAGCCTATTCTCAAGGGGTGCTGGTGCCTATCTCCAGCTGTCTACGGACAAGAGGTGGGGTACACCCTGGACAGGTCGCCAGTCTATCTCAGGGCAGCACAGAGACAAAAAAGGACAAACACAACTATTCAAGGAGAATTTAGAGAAGCCAATTAACCTAAGAGTCATGTTTTTGGACTGTGGGAGGAAGCCGGAGTACCCGGAGAGAACCCATTCATGCACAGGGAGAACATGCTAACTCCAAGCAGAAAGACCCCAGGCTGGGAATCGAACCTTGAACCTTGTTGCTGCAAGGCTGCTGCCCAACAAAATAGTCCTGGATAAAGCGAGAGTTGATGAGTATGAGTACAAGTATGGGTGCATTAAAGAGAAAGTGTGCCTAACTCCATGTGCTTGTGTTAAGGACTGTTTATGGTATATTTCCTAACCTTCCGAGAACCAGCAGACCATGTAGGGACAGAGGGCTTTATCTAATGTGGTAAATCCCCTATTTTTAATGTTAGTAAGTCAGTTTAGAGGTATGATGTGATTTCCTAGGTGAAGGTTAGGGAATATAGTGATACTTGTTTGAGTTAGGGCAAATTTTAGGGTTAGGCATTAATACCCTAATTAAAATTAATGTAAGCCAATGTCAAGTTTTAATATAGATGGAAAAACAACTATGTGTCTTTGTATGTTTATATATTTGTTTATTTTACTTATTTAGGAGTGTTTTTGCTAACCTTGTGAGGACCAACAGGCCTTTTGGGGTATAATTTTGAACCATATAGAGTCAGTTTAGAGGTACAGTTCGAATTAACTTTAGGTGATAGTGGTTATATTCAGGATAAATGTCAGGGTTACATAAAACAAATGTAAGTCCATGGAAAGTCTCAATATACAAACCTCTGTGTGTGTGTTTTGTTTTAACTGCATTAAGGCTATGTTTTTTATTTTTTTCTATAAACTAGAGAAATGGGAAAATATTCTTGTCTACATAGCATGGGAATCCTGGTGTTCAACTGATTTAGTTTGCTGACTCCTGTGTGGAGAGTCTGATAGCTGCTGAAGGGGATGACTTCATGGGTCACATGAGGTTACTGGACCAGGAGCAAGGGGGTTGACCCCAGAGGGACCAAAGGGATCCAATGTGGGGGGTGGGTAAAGAGTGACCGTAGACTTCGAGCCTAACTATCCCCGCATCTATTTCGGTGATGTGATTCTTATTTTTGGACAAGTGCAGCAAGTACAATTTAGACTGTAACAGGTGCACTTTTTGGCTCAAAAAGTAAATCAAAAATACATTTATGTTCATCTTAATTCCTCCATTTCAACCATGAGGTGGCATGCACCATATGGTTAAATAGAATTTAATACCCCAACAGGTTTTCTTCCTTTTTTGTGAAAATACCACCCTCTGAGGATAACTACACAATAGACATGGCACCAAAGGCTGCTGGGTCATAAATGTGTCTGCAGCTGATCACTGGGGCTTGCCGGCCTGGGCAACATTTTGCGGAGATGAGGTAATTAAGGAATAATCAAGCCATAAAACAAATGGGTCATTCTAGGAAAATGCAGTTTCCCCTTTTCGTCCAGAGTTACTCAAAGCTATCCCCGGGGGAGATTGGGTAGAGAGGTGGGGGGTTTTAGAGTGTGGGGATAATTTTGCTCTTTTTAAGTGAACTTGCTGTGATGGACAGGAAACAAAAAAAAAACCTCTGCAAAGAAGATGACTACTAATGCAGGTTGCAGGAACTTAAGGATTGCTCACACCGTGGGAAATACTTTTCCCTGCAGAGCTGGCTTTCTCAGTTTGCTCCCATAATAGAGGAGTGTGGTGGGTCAATTTGCCCTGAGAAATGGTTCTGTCTTCTAAATGATGTAAAGATCCAATTCCTGCCTCTTTTGTGGGTCCTTTTACTTTAGAGGTCTAATGTTGGATCACTCAGCACAGATAAGACACAATAAAACACAATATCTGCCATGTCATTCATTTCAGTTGCTGGCTACTATGTAATGAGATCCTGTTCAGCTTTCTTCTTATCCAAATTTCTGGAAGATTTATATTTGAGCTGAAGGAAGCTCTGGAGCTGTGCCTCCTTCTAGCGAAGAAACAGATAATTGTCTGGTTCAAGTCCTGACAAACAAGTCTTGCAAGATTAAGTCTTATTATTGCAACAAACAGGCACCAGCCATTTTATATTTAATCATAAAGTGCTTAGATGTACAAGAATGTGATCTCACCTGAATGTTCTGTAATATGCAAGTGGCAAAAAACAAAAATCTTTGTAAAAATGCCATATATTCATGTCATTCCTATTCATCTATAGCCTAAAAATGCATAGTTGATAAGAGAAAAATCTGCCAGCAGGAGACTGAAACCGAGAACCCATTAGATTCTTTATTTCTGCTTTTCATTTTCACAAAATGTTAACCAGATTGTCATGGCACAAATTTGAATTACTGCTTTAAAATGAGAGACTGGTGTTTGATGACACAGAGCATAATCCCAGATCTTCAGTTTGTCTGTAGGTTGGTCTTGCTAGCTTTAGACAGGCATTTTTTGGTTACATCCAATATTGTGTTTCTTCCCCTCTGAGCTGATGATTCTAAATTTGTTCTTTAGATTTTAACATGACATACATGTATAATTGGAACAAATGTGCTCCTAGTTTTATGACAAAAGTGATAGCTTCAAATTAAACAGATTAATTAGAATTGAGTCAGAATACACTTTATTAGTCACGTTTTGTGCATAAACAAGACATTTGAGTTTGGTTTCTTAAATTGAAAAGTCATGTTTTAAATTATGTCACCAAACTTTGTATGCTTTCAGTTCTTTTAAATTTGAGAAGCAAATTAAAGTCAAGGTTGTTGATTGGTGTCAGGTAGGGTGGAGGTTTTTGAGGACCCAAATACAGAAAAGTTTGCAGATTTAATACATTTTCACAGGCAACTAAGGCCAAAATTGAAAAAAATCTGAACACTAAAATATAGAAGACATCAAGGAAAAACACAAATGAGGAACCGACAGAGTAATAAAATAACAACAAGAAACCAGCACTAAGTGAAGGCTGTGCTGAGCTTTAAAGCCTAGCACTCTGATGAGACTGATGAGCTCCACCTGTGTAGACTACAAAGGTTCTCCACCAAGATCCTCTCAGGAAGAGATGCATCACTAGCACTAACATACACACACATGGGAACCCTGACAGTTGGTGTGCTTCTTCAAATTCTGAGTTGTGATTGTTGTTTATGAATAGAAAAAAAAACCATTTAGATTATTCCTTGTTGGACTGCCTATCACCAATCAGAGCCTATCAAAAACTGATGGATTGAAGCATCCCTGGTACCTCTACTAAACATAGAATAAAGCTTTGAACTGCAAAATTGTAACTCAGACTTTTTTTCTTAAACTCCCTGGGAGTGATCACACCCCCCCCCCCCCCCCCCCCCAAAACATACATACACGTGCACACTTACACACACACTCTCTATTTTCTGTACATATGCAGATACCTAATAAAATCCATACATATTTAAACATATTTAAATGGTTTAAAATTTTACTCATTACAACTTTGATTACGAATACTTCTGTAATATTCATATATTTTATAAATGGCAAAATTAATACCTGCTGCACAGGCATGTTGTTCATTTAAAAACCTTTGATTTAGATTTAATTTAATTCTTATTAAGGAATCCCTCAATACATATTTTACTGCTTGTCCATCAGGGTCACAAGGGGGCTGCTGCCTGAACATGTTGCCAGTCCTTCATGGAGAATGACAGAATCATACAACCATGCACACAGATGCCTACAGTAAGGGCTATTTAAAGGGACCAATCAACCTAACAGTACCTAACATGATATTGGACTATTGGACTGTGGGGGGGAAGCCAGAGTACACAGGGAGAAACAACATGTGCATGGGAGAACAAGCAAACTCCATGCAAAATAGTGAGCTGTTTCACAACATTTATTGTGAAAAATCTCTCCATCTGTCTATCACCTGTGGAATTTGTGGATTGTTTGCTTCAGCTTGGTAATAGCGGCATATTTAACCAGCAGATTTAGCTACATTCAAACCAAATTCATCCAGTCTGCAAGTTTTTTTATGGAAAACACAGAACTCTTGAATTTTATTGTGATCATTACTAAGCAGCAAATTCTACACATGCTTAAGATAGTCAGGGAGCTCTGATGCTCCATCATGCATAATGTGGAGCACACTGGGGTCATTGTAGATCCCAGAAGACCTTTCCATAGCCTTAAAAATTATCTATTTTCACACTGATTTTTAAACTCATTTTGGAGTTTTAGTCCGGTGTAAAGAAGGTCTTTAAAACAGCAAGTTGGGTAAATTTTTGTATAGTGGTGTCTTGGAAGTGCATATTATACGTATAGGTAAAGGAAAAATGTCATAGAAAGTGTCAAAGTTTGGTGTTTCTAGTTGTCAAGATGTTGACTGATTTGAGTACCGGTAGTTGCATTTGTTTCATAAGTTTGTTATTACTCTTTTGCTCAAGACTTGTAATACTCCACAGGAAGGGTGATGAAAACCAATTGTGAACAAATCCTTCCACTCTAAGGGAACAAATACCATTTGTACCCGTTTCCCATATCAGATTTGTAGGTTTTCCACTGTCAAGTGTCCATCACCTGTGGAGATGGCTATGGTATAACACTTCCGTAAAGATAACATTCCAGTATCCAATATCCGGCTTAAGTGTGCGCATGAAATTACCATGCAAACACCACTGGGCCTCTTGGCTCAAAGACCTAAGAGGCTTTGAGAGAGGCTGAGCTGCCAAATCAATATTAGCATTCCTCTGTCAGCAGCTCTCTCCTTTTATGATGATGTCACTCCTACAACTGTCAGAGTGTGAGGAGGGAAACACATTTTCATAGTGAACACACTGACTGATCAGATGCATGAAACTGTCACACAGGCAAAGCGAGTCCCTTGCTTTCTGGTGCAAGGAAGGTGCACAATTTGTACAGTTTTTCTTGTACACTGGTGGCTAAAAGCTCAAAACTAACAGTAAACTCTGACATATATTTCTGATTCTGCACACTTTCAAAATGTTTTTTGTCATAAGCTTAGCCTTTTTAAGAGTGCTTCCCCAGATGAGAATAGCAATACTTTTGTGTCAATGAAAGTTAATTGTAAACTGAGCCCAAACAGCACAGTGTGCTTCGACATGCGAGCACATGCATGGTGCCAAAGCCATCAGTGACGTCTCTTTTCTCTCCTCCAGGTTGGAACATTTACGACACAGCATGCTGAATACTTCTTGGAGCCTCTTTTGAATGCATCTGGGGAGGAATACAATGAAGAGCACAACAAACCACATCTAGTATATCGACATGAGAGGAGAAGGAACACCTCACACACTGATGAACCCTGTGCTGCCTCAGGTACCAGACAGCCTAACTCCTTTGCCCCTAACCACAGTCTGTCTGACTTTTACCCCTAAACACTTACCTCCTTATTAAGTGTGCACACTTGTATGAATCATGGCCGCTGAGGTTACCTTAAAATTAAAATTCATGTCAGTTATAAGTTTTGAGCCCTGATTTAGGTGTTTTTATAAAAGCCTCTTGACTTAATTAAGCAAAACTGGCTCCAAGCAATGCTTTGCTGTTTTTCACTTAACCTCTGTTGAAGAATTCTGTGCCAAGTTCTCTGACAGGGGCCCAGCCAATGTTAGAAATTATTACATTTAGGTTTGGAGTTGCATTTAAAATAGCTAAAGAAATATTTCCACTTCATATCCTGCTTGTACAATCCTCTGCTTCCATTAGAATTTTTATGGTTGAGAGCTCTGGGTAGCAGAAAAACCCAGTGTGACTGAGTTAAGTTTACATCAATGGAAGACCCTCCATGAAGTTGTCCTCAAAGGCATCTTTGAGGGTGCCCTTTTGTTGTTTAATGCAATAAATCTTTTATGGGCAGAGCGCTTAAGTAGCTGTTGTCTAAAGCCAGCCTTTGTTGTCTGATAGCAACCATTGTACGTAGAATGACCTGAAGAGCCAGGCCAGTGGCGCCTTATGATGCTTTACCCTTGCAATCTTTGGTCTGAGTGTGGAAAACTATTACTGCCCCCCCCACCCTGGAACATTTAACTATACTCTCTCTAAAGAACACATTCGGTGAGGTCTGTGTGATGATCATTTATCAACTTTGCTGTTTAGAAAATAACACAAATCCTGTGCCGGGATTTTTACTCCTGTCATCTAGGATTGCTCGTTCGTCTGCAGGCTTCTTGAAGTTCCTGAAAAGCTTAGTTGGGGGAGTCCTCCCCCTTGTTCATTTGAAACCATACTTTTACTTCAGAAAGATTCTATCATCACTTCTTTGCTCACATCAGTATCTGTGAACCCTTTTTCCTTTATACATACTGAATAGTGCAAGCATGCACACCAGGCATAAATTGATACAGGCACAGCTACACAATTTCTTGCTAGTACAATTAAGCAGGCAAAAGCTAAAGGTTATACAACTCAAAAGCCACCTTTATGTATGATGCATTCAAAGTACAAATTGTAGTTTTTATTTACTTAGTTTGTATATTTGTCTAATAGAAATGCTTGTGACAAAAGTAACTAAAGTACATACAGAATGGAGTTTTAAATTGTAATAAATTGGAAAGAAATCCAACCAACTTTACCCAATGTAAAAAAGTATTTCGCATAAAATCTAAATGACTGCTACTACAACCCAATGGCAGTAGCAGCTGCTATCAAATTACTTGAAAAAGTGTACGATCCTACTACACTCGTTCATAAACTATGTTCCTAAAAACATAGAAAGTTTACAAATATGTCTTTAAGTACTTTTCTCTTTATGTATGGAGTCTGCTTCAGAATAAGCTACATTTGATGGAGCTTGTTCCTGTGAGTGAGATTAAGATAAGATATGATAGATTTTAATGATCTCACATTGGACATATGTATGACATATGTACATCTAAGGTGATTTATACACATATGGATTTGGCATGGTACATTAAGGTGGTACCAGGTAAGGAACAACAGTAATATAGTGAGATAACTATAACAGCTGACATTTTTTTATTTGTTTAACAGATTATTGTACAGGTTATTGCACATGGTATTAAATAGTAATTGCTTTAAACATTGGTTATTGCACAAGTTATGGCATTTGTAGTGCCACATTGTAAAGTCTGATGGCAGAGTTTAAACTAATCCTAAACTAAATAGGGCATTTGAACATAAATGTTCTGAATGATATATTTGACCAACCTATTAAATATCTATTGGAATTTGTTTTTTCATATTTTGTTGTTTTATAATATGAAAAAAAATTATATATATATTTATTTTTATTTTTTCTGGATGGGGCCACCTGTGGAGCTGGATGACAGTTGCGTTTTGTATCTCTGCTTCTCTTTCTATAGCCCCATTTCCACTACCCTTTCGTGACAAATATGAAATATTTATATATATATATATATATATATATATATATATATATATATATATATATATATATATATATATATATATATATATATATATATACTTATATATATAAGTTTGTTTCATTTACATTTTTTTTCTTTCTTGATTGTTTTTACTGTCTGTTCGAAATAATTAAATAAAATAAAAAAATATATAAATATATATATATATATATATATATACACACATATATAAAAATATGATTTTTTTTTTTTTCATATTTGGTTCTTTTATAATACGGCTGCTCAGTGGCGCAGTGGGTAGCACTACTGCCTTGCAGCAAGACGGTTCTGGGTTCGATTTCTGGCCCGGGGTCTTTCTGCATTGAGTTTGCTTGTTCTCCCTGAGCATGCATGGGTTCTCTCTGGGTACTCCGGCTTCCTCAGTCCAAAAACACGACTGTTAGGTTAATTGGCTTCTCTAAATTCTCCTTCAGTGTGAGTTTGTGTGTGAATGGTTGTAAGTCCTGTTTGTCTCTATGTTGCCCTGCGATGGACTGGCGACCTGTCCAGGGTGTACCCCACCTCTTGCCCATTGACAACTGGAGTTAGGCACCAGCGATCCCACTTGGGATTAAGCGTGTAAGAAAATGGATGGATGTTTTATAATTTGTAAAGTAAAGTGAAGTAACAACAAATAAAACATCTATGTGAAAATGTACAGACTTAAGTCTAGGGGAATTTTGGCCCACTGTTTGTTATTAAAATGTCACAGCTAAAGCTTGATGCCCTGTTTGAGGCCATCTCAAAGCCGCTTGATTTGATCCTTGTTAGGAATTTGACTAGGCTTCATTAAAATGACAAATTTTCAATTTATCATTTGAGCAATTCAAAGGCCATCTTCCTGCTAAAAAAAACCTATCTCATATACTGATGGCCAGACATGTGTGAGGAGTTTCTTGTAGAATTCAGAATTTAAAATTCAATTAATTTTGGCAGGTTGTGAAGGCCCTGAAGCATCAAAGCAGCCCTAGGACATTCCCATACTAAAAATTATTTTGTCTAAGAATAGATGTGTTTTTTTTCTCAATCACTGTACTAATGTTACGTCAAATAAAAAATATATCTACTTAATTATGATAAGCCAAAGAATACTTTTGTCTTGGTTGTCATCAACTTGAATGCTGACAGTAACTGCATTGTTGACTTGTCCAGGGTGCACCCTGCCTCTTGCCTAATGACTGAGATAGGAATGGAAGGCCTATACTGAGAAATGTCAGAACTGAAGCTATTTAGAACTTATTCTGGATTGTGTTCTGAGCTTCTAGGTTAGTGGTCGAATGGCTCTTGAATTAAATCTGGTACGCCAGCACCACATGGGAATGTTCCAAAGGCTTGGGGGAAAATGCAGTCCTATTCCAAGGTAATGGATGTCATTGAGTAGGTTTTTCATGCGTTCTTGAATTTCGTTCATTTTGACATTATTAGTTGCCTTTGATATCTTTGAAACTACTTCAGCTTACAACTGTAGGCTTTCACTTTAGAAGTTTGGCTCCAAATTGTTGCTAGTTAGGTTTGAGATTTTGAGTCTCTCATTGTTGTTGGGACTATTGTCATCTTGGATCCAACACCTTTTCTTCCTTTTCTCTCCCTCTTTCTTTCATTATGTCTTTATAATTTTCATGACCTCCTTGTTATGTAATGTAGAGGTGGTTTATCATGCCTCTAAGCATGTTAAATTATACATCTATTTTATATAATATCCTGAATAACAGTATTTTTTTGTTTCATTTGCAACTTTATATTAAGTTTAAAATCCCTAAGTAATTCATAAACCAATTATAACAATTTCTTCTGTATGCGCATGATGCAGTAGGTATGAGGTAGAAAGAACTATACATTTCCAAGGACACCTGTGGCGCTTCATCAGAGGGAAAGCATGTAGAGATAGAGGAAGAGGCATAAAAGATCTTGAGTTAGGATTATGAGGTGTCCCATGCTACAGCTCCTCAGCTTCTATCTGATAGGTTCCTGTCCCAGATTGAGTGATAAAAACAGGCTCTTTGAAGACCACATCAAGTCAAGACTAACATTTTTACGGTAAGGAGAGCAGAGCACGCTCCTACTAGCAGGTCAGACATAACCACTGGTTTAATGCTGTGATGCTTGGAAACTGTGGTACATAGTTGCTGTTTCTTAAATTGCCAAATTGTTCTACTAGGTTTGCAGTTGCAATTATTGCACATGTCTGTGATAGCTTTTGTTTTCAAGTTGCTGTGTGTTAGAAGTTATTCTTCTCATTTCATCTAAACCCATATCTAATCATGGCTGGAAGATTTTGAGATACATTTTGCATGTCTTACAACTTTTGTAGCAAAGCTTTTTAAACAAGGAACATAACTCTTTAAAGGAGACGAGGCAATGGACATGATGAATAATTTAGGATACATTTTACTTCCCCATCCGGTTGCCAGTCTGTCCAATGTGGTCCATGACAGACAAAGGTTAAAAACCTAAAGCCTAAGTAAATATGCAACTGCAATTGTTTTGTAGTTGTAATTTCCACCTTCGTGTTATCTTCTGAAGGTCTTGCACTCTCCCTGGAAGCTCGTTCTACAGTGTTTTCAAGACTGGAAAGAGATCAAACCAGTGATTGAGAAAGCCAAAAATAGTCTGATTTCAAACATGAGAAGATTTCCTAGGATAATGTGAGATATTTTAATAATCCTAAAAACTCTTGTCTATAAAAGTTTTTACTTTTACTTTACTTAAAAATGAAGGAAAATCACTTGAAATTACACTTTTGGTTAAAAAAAATTTAATATATTTTTAGTTTATTATCATTCAAAATCACTACCTTTAGGATATACCCTTAAGATATTTGTATTTTTATATATTTCATGAGATTATTTGGCTCAAGAACCCGTGATGTTGGTAAGAGCTGGATTCCTGTATTTTTTTTGAAGTTACAATAGCACTCTTTGTTAGGGTCAG